CTTGTTCCTAGTAGTAAGGCCAGGAGCCCCTAGTAGCGTCCTTGCTCCTAGTATGCCAGGGGCCCCTAGTAGCTTCTTGTTCCTTGTAGCGTCCTCTTGCTACAAGTAGTAAGGCCAGGAGCACCTAGTAGCGTTCTTGCTCCTAGTAGCGATGCCCTTTGTTCCTAGTAGCGTCCTCTTGTTCCTAGTAGTAAGGCCAGGCGCCCCTAGTAGCGTCCTTGCTCCTAGTAGCGATGCCCTTTGTTCCTATAGTAGCAACCTCTTGTTCCTAGTAGCAAGGCCAGGAGCCCCTAGTAGCGTCCTTGCTCCGAGTATGCCAGGAGCCCCTAGTAGCTTCTTGTTCCTAGTGGCGTCCTCTTGTTCCTAGTAGTAAGGCCAGGAGCCCCTAGTAGCGTCCTTGTTTTAGTAGCGATGCCAGGGCCCCTACTAGCTTCTTGTTCCTAGAAGCGTCCTCTTGTTCCTAGTAGTAAGGCCAGGAGCCCCTAGTAGCGTCCTTGCTCCTAGTATGCCAGGAGCCCCCAGTAGCTTCTTGTTCCTAGTAGCGTCCTCTTGTTCCTAGTAGTAAGGCCAGGAGCCCCTACTAGCGTCCTTGCTCCTAGTAGCGATGCCAGGAGCCCCTAGTAGCTTCTTGTTCCTAGTAGCGTCCTCTTGTTCCTAGTAGTAAGGCCAGGAGCCCCTAGTAGCGTCCTTGCTCCTAGTATGCCAGGAGCCCCTAGTAGCTTCTTGTTCCTAGTAGCGTCCTCTTGCTACAAGTAGTAAGGCCAGGAGAATGGGGAATAGGGTCCCGAGCAAGATTTGGGTACCACTTGTACACTACCGAAGTGATGAGTTCTTGTCGATTCCTTTGCTAGTTACTAATTACAATTCTAATTAAATTCTTATTGTTACTACTAGTAAGGCACTTGTGACTAGTAGCGAGGCACTTGTTACTAGTAGATTTGGGTACCACTTGTACCGAAGTGATGAGTTCTTGTCGATGCTCGGATTAGACTCGTCAACGGTCGCTCCCATCTCCTCATCGTGACCTCCGCAACCAAGACCATGTGCACGCCAGGTCATCAAAGATGCAAAGACAAGTCCTGCCGGTCAAACCCCGCTCAAATTGTCGAGATTCACATTGCAAAGACCACATGCACGTGCAGAGCTTCAAAGTATCTCCACTGTTCACAACAAAAGTTCCCCTGCCTACAAGAAAGGACAAGAGAGACATGGAGTTCGGGTTGATTTGAGAACCTCACAGCTGGCCAAACTTGATGAAGTCTCACTTAGTTTGGAGTCTTAAAGAATGCCTAAACTCCGCGTTCTCTCCGCGAAAGAGGTACTTGATGCATGCCAAGGCACTCGACAAAGCATAGGAGTTCAAAAGGGTGCGGGTGGTATCTGTCGCGGCATATACCTGGCTGAGCACCAAGCCTGCTTTCACAAGAGGGAAGTCGAACTGATTTCGGCTCAACTGGAAAGCATCCTTCAAACCTCCAACTGCAAGTCCCAACAAGTGACCCATGTTGGCCCTTGAAAGAAAATCAGTCTCCAAGCAAATGTGTCAGTGTGCACACCATGCTGATGCAGGAGCAATGAGCCAAACAAAAACTGGAAAGACTCAGGACCGGCCCCATTTCTGACGAGTTGAGACTGAGGCCAGCACCAGGGAAATGACCAGCATCTGCATGTCCATTGGGCTGCCTCCTCCTTCCTCCTCCTCCGCCTATGAGACAGTAGTGCAGTGTTCATCTGGCGTTAGTGTGTTGATGTATGGTTACACCCCGTGCTATTCTTCCCCGAAAGCCAAGGGACGGGGCAAGTAGCTTCTTGTTCCTAGTAGTAAGGCCAGGAGCCCTAGTAGCGTCCTTGCTCCTAGTAGCGATGCCCTGTGCTCCTAGTAGTTTCTTGTTCCTGGAACAAATCATGAGCTAATGGTCCGGAAGCCGAAAGTCCGCGTAGTTTCAGAAATACGAAGGCCCTGGCCGGCAGGATGGGAGCGCCCTTGATCTTCTTGTCATAACCTCAAAATGGTGCTGCCACAAAAGCTGCTACCATTCACACGATTCTGCCTTGGACTGCCATCTTTTCCTTTTTCTTGTTTGATGTGTCCTTGCCAATAGATTGACCTCAAGACAACTAGTTTTGTACCTGGATGTTGAAATCAAACCAAGGCAGTGCCATGTTTTAATATGAATGAGAGCTGGCATTGCCTAAATTAGGACAAGTGTTTGAAAGTTGATACGGTAAAAAGTCTCCACATCAAATCTTGCAGGAAAAGAACAGAAACAAAAAGTGCCCTTGAATTAATTGCCTTTTGTTTCAGTCTGTCACTGTTTCAGACTTTCTATGAGTTCCTTCTTTATTTCCTTTCCCTTCCCTTTCCCATTCCTATCCTAGCCTTCCCCTCTTCCCTCTTCCTTCGTTCATTGTTCTCCTACTCCACTCTTCAGTCTCAACTGCCTATGCAATTTCTGCATATTGCTTTATACTCTCTTGTTTTTGTCACTCTCTCTCTCTCTCTCTCTAGTCTTCCGTCTGTACTGTTTATCACTCCACGCTGCATATATGTTGAAACATCTGATCAATCGCGGCAGATAGAAAGCTGCTGAGCAAAGGGTAGGGGATAGACCTTTTTTGTGGGCCGGCCGGTGGCCGGATGGCCAGATGGGGATGTGGCCGGTGGCCGGATGTGGCCGGACGTGGCCGGATGGTTCGATGTGGCTGGTGGGGAAAGCGCTCCGAAAGCACGAACTTCCAAACTTCATGCGTCGATTCCGCGGCCGCTCCCTCAAATAAATCTTCTGGGGTGGTTCCACTTGATGGTGAATAGTATCCCATGGTGCGCCGCAGTCTGTGTTGCCTCAGCAGCTTCTTAAACTCTTAAACTTTGTCCTGCAAGATTACTCCTGAGGGTGAGGCCCCAGATTAAACCCTTATTTAAGGGAACGGCCATCCAAAACCAGCTTTGGCGACCTTTTGATAACCCTTTTTGTAAGGGTGTGGCCGGATGGTCTGCAGAGCGCTTGGGCTTGAACATAACAAGGGGCGCAAGCCACCACGCCCCCAGTTTAAACAGGACGCTGGCACATACGAGCAAGTTTCAGGCTAGCCCGAAGCAATGGCAGCGGCTAGAAAGGAAAAAGACCAGGGACAAGCGGAAGCAAGCAACGGGCAGCGATACGCGTGGCTGACACAACACCGGAGCTCAAATTGCAGAATTCCATCATACAGTAACACGCCGCCACTTAGCCGTGTGCTTAGGACGACGAAACGGCGCGAAACGTGATTTCCACAAGTTTCAAGACCACTTTTTCAAAAGCGTGTGCGCATGAATGTTCCAAAGCGTGCGACGCGTGTGTGGCATCATCTTCAAAGCACATCCAAACCCCCCGACCCAACCCCATCCCACTCATCTTCCAAAGCGTCTGCGGATGTGGCATTATCCTCCAAGCATATCCAACACAATACAACTGACGAATGCAAAATTCTATCCCAAACGTGCAAAAAGGTGAACTGTGAACAAGTACGTAAAAGAAAGTCGTTGCTCTGATACAACATTGCAGAACGCTGTTTTTTTGAATCGAAGATATATAAAGATGCCAAGGTTTAACGCCCATTGCAACGACATCGGGGAACCCTTCATGGTAACCCGCAAGCATTGCGGAAATCAGAAAACATTTCAGAAATTGGGAGCACTTGCTGAACAACGACAAGAGCGTACGGCGGTGACGGGGCGCGACCCCAAACATACGGACGGCTGGTGGTGAGATGGTCGGCTGGGGCCGCATGGCCGGCTGGCCGCGTGGCTGGGTGGCCGGGGCCGGTGGCCGGAAACGAAAAAGATCTGTTGTGAAGGGTAGGGGAGGGTAGGCCGGGTAGGGGGTGGAGTCAGGTGGAGCATCAAGTCAGGAACTGAATGGACCTTGTCCATGCGTATGCACCTCATCTGACTTCGTTTTCAACAAAGCCTTGCCGAGACACATCCCAGCCAGGGAGTATGGCAGTAATCTTCTTCCTCGACGGTCTCCAAATCAGACTCCTGCTGCCAAAGAAGCATCAGGAAACATTTGCGGAAACCGCCAGGCGGTTCAATGAAGGCCACTATTTGTTCAACTGACATTCAATTGTGTGAGAATCTTGGCCAGCATATAAATTAGTTCAGTGCTTTGGTTGTGGTTGCGCTTGCTGTGCTGTGCCCTATCGTCACAGCGTTTCGCTTCAATTCAAGCATGCCAATTCATAGGCGCTTGCTTTGTCATCTTTGTCGCGTAAGAGACATGTCACTGTCACTGACGGGTCATTTCTTCAGCTGGCTGCAACTTGCGCTTGGCCTCTTGGCGAAGCTTGTCCCGGTGCCAAGCGTCAAGCAACTATGCCGGGCACGTGATGTTCGAAAGCTTCGGCTTGGTTGTATGCTGTATCTGCTGATGGATGCCATTCTCCGCGTTCAGACAGTGTTTTCCTCATATTCTTCGGCCATGATACATGCAAAGCATCAGCCGCATCATCAGCACGGCTGCCCAAATTGCCTAAACGCTAAGTTTTCTTCGGTCAGTTTCACACACAGGAAGCATGACCCCTAAGGCCCTATGATGCCAACTAGGGGCAGTCAGAAACCCATCACTTTGACCAGTCCCAGACGACTCCTGAGAAAGAACCACATCCATGCTAATTTTTGGTGTTGTCATGTGACCAATTCCTGGTCCCTCAATGTTCCTCACATACCGTGACTATATTCCGCATACTTGGCCTCGCTACTAGGAGCAAGGACGCTACTAGGGGCTCCTGGCCGTACTACTAGGAGCAAGGACGCTACTAGGAGCAAAGGGCATCGCTACTAGTAGCAAGGACGCTACGTTCAGGGCTCCATGCCTCAACTCTGTGTGACCGTGATCGGTCCAGTCCCATCTCCGTCCCGTCTCCTCGAACTTGGGGCCAACGGCCTGGTAGTGGAACTTCCGCTCGTCTTCGTAGACTTCAGCCGTCCTGGCGGCAACATGTCCCATGAATAGAAACACAAAACGAGATTCCTCCAGCCTACTAGCGATGGCTTATGAAGATGCAGAAGATGAAGCATGATGAAACAAACTGAACAAAGAGATGAAAACATCAAGACCTGAAAGACATTGATGGCTCTGAGGTCGCATTAAAAATGAAGAAGTCTCCAGTGTACGCACAAAGCTCTTGAGAAGACAACTTCTTAGCACCGAGAAGTCTCCTGTAGAGCACAAATGTCATGTAGACAATCATCACCAGCATCAATGACGGTCCCATTCGGACGCCGAAATTGTACCTTGCAAGAGACTTTTTGGGACTGCTCCCATCGGCAATCGTGCAATCCTGAAACCCAACTGAGTGTGCAAATGAAATGGGAGCGAATGCGGTGTCAAATCAAAACACGTTCAACCAAAAAACAACCAGGCCATCGCTCTTAGGTTGGAGTAGTAGGGGCATCGAAGCCGCTCAACATTGCCAGCACTAGCTGCACTAGCTGTCAACCAAGGAGCGACTCCTTCGAGCATAGATCCTGCATAGCATCGGTTTGGCTCAGGACCGATGTTTCGATGTTAGAAAAGGAAGGAAGTCAAGAAGGGGTAGCGTCCTTGCTCTGTACGGCCAGGAGCCAACAAAAGTTCGATTCTAAAGCGACATCTACACCATTCTCAAATGCCAAACAAAATATGATGTTGTCATTTTGTTTCAGAGACGTTACTCTTCGCTGCAAATGGATGCCCTTCAAGCAGTGATGGCCTCGTTGATTATCTTTTAACGATGCTGGAAATGCACGGTGTCTATATTGCATTACCAGCATCATGGATCCCTCAACGCATCCAAAAAAGACTCCAACACCTGCAAAGGACAACCCCTATTTGGTTGCACCCAATTTGATTGCATTTCTCGCCGCCTCTGTCCCCAGCCAGTCCCCTGAATGACTTTCACATAACGACTATCTCCTGTAAAGATCAGAAGGGAGAAAGGCCTTGAAAGACATGCCTTAATGATAGTAACAAGAAGCTGGTAGTAACAAGTGCATCGCTATTGGGAACAGGTGCATCGCTACTAGTAACAAAAAGCTACTAGGGGCTCCTGGCCATACTACTAGGAGCAAGAACGCTACTGGTAACAAAGGGCATCGCTACTAGGAACAAGGACGCTACTAGGGGCTCTTCAGGTGATCTTCAGGTCTTCCGGTCCAAAAGGCACATCACAGTGATCAGGGTGGTCTCCGACACCATCAACTTCAACTGGGAAGCTGCTCCGATCACATGATATTTGATGCATCATGAGATTTCAATAGTGGTAGCATGGTTGGGGTCTTTCTTGCATTCCAAAGAAGGAAGACAAGTCCAAAGGTCAAAAAAAATAAAAAGGCCATCGCTAGTAGGTTGGAGGCCATCGCTACTAGGTTGGAGGCCATCGCTACCAAGTTTTGAACCTTTGAACATTCAAGTCCAAGGGGCCACGGTACTTTGCTTCATGATGATGAGACCTGTTCAAGGAATCAATCACACTCAGACAAAGCGACGTGAAATGCAAAGCGGGCCTTGCAGCCAGGAAAAGACTACCAGGACAATGACATAGACATAGTCCAAGAAATGCCAAGTGCCCCAAAACCTGAAGCTGCAGTGACACTTTCAAAAGAAATTCAGCAACTCTCAATCTCTTGACGAGTCCAAGTCTTTAGAGATAATTAAGCTGTTTAACATGTTCTTACTCATTTGTGTTGGTTGTGTTTCTTTAGACCTATGGACCTTTCTTGAGTTCTCTGTCTTTTCTAAAATATCAACTCTGTGCTCTCTTCTTGCTTGAACAAGAAGCTCATAGGCATTGAACCTTGGAAGTTGGAGCAATCTTCAGCTTTTGCAAGAAAGAAGTGAAGTCACAAACAGACCTAATCCTGAAACATGAAACATGAAAGGAAGAAAGTTAGTCTTCCCCAAAAAAGAAAATCAATCATCAAATCATTAAGGCTCAGGCTTCTTCAAAGAAGCTCCCCCCCCTCAGGTGAGGAGAGACTCCTTGAAAAAGACTGAGCCCCGGAAACTGAGAAGCTACTTGTTAGTAACAAGTGCATCGCTAGTAGTAACAGGTGCCTTACTAGTAGTAACAAGGACGCTACTGGGAACAAGTGCATCGCTTCTAGTAACAAGTGCCTTACTAGTAGTAACAAGAAGCTACTTGTTAGCTTAGGAGTTACTCCTTGCTTGTTAGCCCACCCTGGCCACCGTCTTGTCGTCCAGTGGCTGTTTCTTGACATCCTGACTGGAATGGTAGACAAAGGCCCAACCAATCGCCGCGGCAAAAATGGCGCTAATGTCCATGTTGATCTTCAGAACCGCAAAGTTGTCCTACAAGAACCCTCGACTCAACGATTCTTAGACTGCAGCGTTCACATGAAGGCTTGTTTCATGTTCGGAGAACTGCGATCAAAGGGTAATGTGTCAGGCAAAGTCCAAGGAATGCCAAGTGACTTGCACAAAGAGTCGAAAAAGAATGGTCCTTCCATGTGTGAAAAAGGCGCTCACTGAGGATTGACCCAGCAACATTTAAGCTCATTCCAACCTCGGTGACAAAAGTAATGCATAGACATAGAGAAAAAGAGTACTCACATATGACATAGAGAATAAGGATTTTCAGCATCACCAGGCCAGGGGCAAAGCCATAGATGAGGCTTCTTGCGTTCGTGTTGGACTCGATCCAAAGCGCAGCCTCTGCAGCTTCACGATTTGGAGGCTCCACAGAGTTAGCTGACGTTGGTGCACGTCTCACATGCTCAAAAGCCACTCGTAAGGATCGCAACAAGAAACTGCCCAAAAAAAAAGGAACCAAATGATTAGTGTGCGGAGGGCAGGGGAGAGCTTCCTTGAAGCATGAGCTATCCTGCGTTCGACGACCTAGTAGCGAACTAGTCACCTTACTTAATTAAGGCCTGGAGCGTGGCTACTAGGCCTCCTGGCCTTACTAGTAGGAGCAAGGACGCTACTAGGAGCTCCTAGCATCGCTACTAGGAGCAAGGACGCTACTAGGGGCTCGGGCCTCAGGCTAAAAAAACAGACTAAGTTGTCACTCTCCACTCCCAGAGCTCCACAACGAATGCCGCTGCCGCTTTGCCTCTCGAGAGCCACAACGGATGTCCGAGAACGCCGGGCATTCCCTGTAGCGTTCTCGAAGAGCAATGAAGGTGCACAAGGAGAATGTCATCCTTGAAGCGTTGTCTCACAAGATACTTCGAGAGGAACGAATGCTTCAATACAATACAAGTTACAAGTTCAAACAACAGGCCGATTCAGATCGTCTATTTTGATCGATCTTCTCGTGGAAACACGGGTATCGGTGTTGCTGAAAGACTTTAGTCCGCAATGGAAAAGAAGTGGTCAATGCCCACACAGGGTAGGAAAGAGAAGATGAGGAAGCACTAGGATTGTATCTTCAGCAGGCCATCATGCTTAGCCGTTCGATTGAACAATCTCTCTCTGTCCCCTCTCTCTCTCTCTCTCTCTCAGAGTTGAGGACAACCGAAAAGCAACGGAAATATGCCAAGCATCATGAGGAAGCAAATCCACATCCTTAGGCACAAATGAAAGGAAGAAAGAAGGCAACCAGACAGGTCTAAAGAAAATATATTGAACATAGAAAATTACAGCAAAAGCACCTTCGTCACACTAAGCTGCAAAGCCAAGTCACATGGCCGTGTAGTGCCTCTGAAAGTACAACCTGCGAGTTGCAGCTGGACACATAGTTCTTCTTCTTTGGACCTTTACACTTTAGACCACTTGACCATGTTCTTGTTTTTTCTCTCTTCTGCTCTTTTCCTTTAGACCTTTCAACATGTCCTGTTCTGTCTTCTTTCCCACTTTGTTTCGACCCGTAGACTTTCTGCTGTCCTTCTTGTATACATCATATATATAATATATATATATCTCTCTCTCTCTCCCTGCAAGTCCGAAGTACTGGTTTAACAAGGTCATCCGAGGACGATCAAGTTTTACGAGGTCATCGCGTTTGTCGGAAGAAACGCCCTTTTGTCTCAACCACACTGGCGTCGCCACCAGAGCCCACATAGATCCTGCACAAATCGATGAAAAAGCACTCAAAACAGTTACCAAACTCATTATATCACGGTACGTTACCTCCTGGAGTGATGTTGTATGGGAACCTTCACGCGTTCACTGCATATTCTATGGTCCTAGCTGCGGTTCTTGGCTTAGCCGCTTGCCATCAGAAGATGTCAAAACTGCCAGTCCTTGCCATGTCATCGTCGCCTCGCCACATCCATATCGATCCTGCCACAAGTGAAATGCGAAGGAAAAAACAATTTTAGAGCAAGTCTAATTCCATTCATGCTAGTGATGCTAGCACGGTTCTTGGCTTAGCCGCTTGCCATCCAAATTCAGAACAAGAAGATGCTGCAGAATGAGTATCCAACCTGAATGGTACTGTGCAATCAGAGAGCCAAGCTGTCCTGCACACGCGTGCCTTTGCACACTTCAAGCGGAGCCTGGCCAGGAATTTTCCATGTGTCTGCAAGAGATTGCACTTGACAGCTTCTTGATCATCCCGATGGTGTCTTCTTCTGAGAAGCACTGCGTGAACCTCGAGTTCAGTCCTGAGATGCTCAAATCCAGCGCGCAAAGAACAGGTTAATTGACCCAAAAGACCACTGAAACCTCTTCCCATAAGACCAGCGAAGCCTCTTCAACGGGGCACCTTTGCGCATGAACCTGGAATTACCAGCTCAAACCACTCAAATCAAGTTCTCCTCTAGAGGAAAGACCCGTCAATGTCATCCAAAGACACACTCAGCCAAGAATCGCTCTCTCTTGGCGCGAGCCAAAACGTGGCAGAACTTTGGCTTCAAGAACCAGCACTGTAGCCCCATCCTGACAACTGACTCAACAATGGCGAAGGGCCCTTGAGGTCTCAAATGGCCCTTCAGGTCTCAAGGGGCCGTTGAAGTCTTTAAGATAAAGGGTAATTCGACGCCCCCCTCAATGGAAGTCCTATTTTGAGGCAGCCGATGTGGTGGTGCAGAAAGCGCTCCCCAAATGATTTCTGATACGATTTCTAATTCTGGCGTCATTGATGCCTACATGTGTGCTCTTGAATCTTTCAAGACAATGCCTACCACATCCCACCACAGTTCTTGGCTTAGCCACCTGCCATTTGGCGCGCTTGAGTAAAAATGAAGTGAAAACCCAAAAAAGGGCACCAAAAAAGGGCGCCCAATCAGTGAAAGAACATTGGAACTGTGTCCTGCCACCCCCCACCACTTCACGCTATGGCGCAAGAACCGTCCAGATCTCTCACAATACCTAAAGAGATCTGCATCCCTCCAGCTTTACCAAATATCATCACCTGGACCTGGCAGGTCCCTCATGGCTGCCTTTGGCGCAATCAAATCAACAGCAGTTCAACAGCACCCTCAAGTTCCAAGCTTTCGCCACAAAGTGGGAGCGTGACCCAACTTGTCCACCTAGGTTTGATGCTTTGCCGTTGTCTGATGGGCTCAAGTCTCCTCAAAGAGACTAAATGGAGACATGGGGTTACCTGTCCTGTGCAGCGGAAAAATCTGTCCCTACAGGTCTAAGACCTGTTGAGGGGTCAGGTTGCCAACTTGTCGAGGAGGGACGCAAGCGCAAAACAGGGCTCTGAAGCGGCGCTGTGAGGTTCTCACCTGGTTGGCCCTCCTCCATGCACTGAAGTCACTGAAGGCACTGAGGAGGCATTGTTCCAGTGCAGCTGGCTCACCGAAGAAACCTCCTCGCACCAGCGTCAACCCCCTCACCAAAACCAACGGCGAAGGGAGCAACTCTCATCCAGCATCGTCGCCAGGAACTCCAACGTGGTGACCTCCGCCCCAGTCGAGTCGAAGTCCCAAAAGGGATGATCGCGCTGAAACACAGTTGCCTTGCAATGGTGGCACACGCGATTCCCACTGAAGCTTGGCGCAAACCTCAGGATCTTGCGCAGAAAGGGCCAGTCGCCCTTGATCTCAGCCAGAGCGAGCATAGTCCGAGACACTCCAACACCATGCCATGCTGCATTGAGTCGATCAACGACATAGGCCAGCAGTGGCCAGAGCGTGAAGCATCCAGCAATGAGGTGTGTCCTCACGCTGAAGATCATATAATGACACACACACACGCACTTTCTTGGATGTTGCTCATAGTGTTGCCTTTGCCTGCGCAGTCACATCACCTGTGCAGGTCAAGCCCACATCATCAACCAAGTATGCCAGGACCTTGCAGGGATCCAAAATTGGCACTGCAACATCTTCCAATGCACCAGACAAAGCAAACTGTTGTGTCTGCACATTGTGTGTTTCCTGAGCTGCTGCCCCACACACATGCATGGAAGCTGATACAATCTGTGGACATGTCACATTCCTTTAAGCATTTCCGTCAGGAAATCCTGAAGGTTTGTGACTCTAGAATTTAAACATTCATCACACCAGGAGGTAGCGTACACGTGACTTTAGGACCTTGTAAAGCCCCCACTCAACTCGATGTCGAGTCCATTAATCGATCCGACAGGTGAGTCCATGTCATGGGTGAAGTGGATTTTGAGAACTAAATTGCACAGATATCCGAGTGTACCAGCCCTTCCAATTAGCAGACCTAAAACTGCAAGTACTAGTAGGTCGAGTCGATCCACCGCATCGATCGTTGGTTGGTTGGAAGGGTGGGGCAGGGAGCCACGGATGTCGCACAAACTTCAGGGAACCATATCCGAAGCCCTCCACAGAACTGATTCCAATGGCTATTGGATCCAAGCTCGGAAGTCGATCTCGAGGATGGGCCATGTGAATCCTCATCGAAGCAGCTGGCCATGGATCTCACTATCCACCCTTGAACTGATCCATCCACACCAGGTGGTTTCAAACACAGTTCCAAAAGGTATATGGTGAGCAGCCTGGTTGGCTGACAGCTGACATGGTGGGTTCACATTACCACATGTCACAGGGATATCCAAACCAAGAACCAAGAACCACTGTGGGTGGTTGGAAGGGATGGGGATGGACTGGGTGGATGGGAGTATACTGTCTCCAAAAAAATACAGTACAGGTGGTGGGCAGCCTGGTTGGCACGACAGCTGACATGGTCCAATGGTGGGTTCACATTACCACATGTCACAAGGATATCCAAACCAAGAAACAAGAACCACTGCGGGTGGTTCGAAGGGAGGGGGGAATGGATGGGATGGGAATACAGTGGCCCGTCCACCCCTAATTCGACTGCTCGCTGTTTTAGTTGGATGGAGTGGGTGGCGCAATCCCCTGAACTACGCATAAATGGACCCCATCTTAGGACATAGGAGATTGCGCTATCTACCCTGAAACCTGTCCAAAGCTCAAGTAAAACCACTAACACACCCAACCCAGAAGTCGTGCGAAGCCAGGCTGAGGGACTCCATTGCATTCTCGATGGATGACTCCTGAGCGTTCATGAGGAATCACCAACACTTGAGGGGCCCTGGTCTTTTTGCCTCAGATGGTGGTGAATGATCCAGGGCGGATGCCAACACACGGACACCTCCAATGGCTTGTGTCTCCATGTACTTTCACATGAGGCAAGAACATCCAAATCATGTAGCAGACACAACTTTAAGTCCCAGGTACCACGTGCTTGGTATGCCACTTGGCAACAGTTCTGCAAAACTTCAGTGGGTATTGAATTGACCAGACTCCTTCAACCGTTCCCCTCCAACAACCTTCTTCTCCCCCTTTTGGTTCTTGTACTTTCGTACAACACCATCAGAGCATAGGCCCAATTTCTGCTTCTTCTTCTTCCAGGTCAGCTTTTTCATGCTCTTGTGGATCCACAGCCTGAGATGGCCCACTCAGGTTAGCCCAACCTCCTCCGGGGAATTTTGATACACAAAGTCTGCCATGCGCAGCCTTGCGTCCAGTCACGTACACGCATACCCACATGTATATACGTATACGAATTGAGCTTCAGGCAGCATCAACGGTGCTCCAAGTCGCAGCAACATGGAAGCAGCAGTTTTGCTTAACTGCAGTGATCGCGCCATGCCTAAATGAATGCACAGCAAGCCACACGAATCCATGTAAAGTACTAATGCTGGCGCATGAACCACCTCAACTTCAGGGAAAACTGCTCTGAAAACAGCTAGCGCTCGGGCACTCCTCTTTTTGCAGAGGTTCAACAAGCCTCCGCACGCACGCCCAAGCACCTTTCAGGTTGCAGCCTCCAAACCAAAGCACATCAAAGCCCTTCGTTTACACATGTCCACGCTTAAAGGAGACGAAACATGTTTACAGACTGTCAACGTCGAGTCCAGCCACCTCTGGTGTGAGAATCGGAGGTTTTGGAAGATCACCACAGAGCCTGCAAAGGGTAAAGGTGAGCCGGATACAAACAGAATTGCTTGTATCTGCGGTATACGCAGTAATATCCAGGCCACCTAGATGGTCACGATCCTGTCACTGCAGCCTGGAAAAATATGACCACAGTACTTCACCCCCACGCATGTGATCTAAAAATATACCATCCGGGTCACCTGAATCCATCCAGCGACCTTTTGGGCAAACATCCACCTGTCTTGTCTCAAGTGTCCAGTCACCTTGACCATACTTGGGTTTCCCACGTGCCATAGGGATCCGTTGACCATGTCAGGGTGACACCATTCTTCTTGTTCACCTGCAAGAAACATCCAACTGAATCAGCTGAGATCTTAATCACAAGTCAAGGAGC